ATATCAGAAATATAAAAAAAGGATTGGAAACACATAGTGTTTCCAATCATTTTAACTTATATCATAATAAAGATCCAAAAAAGATGTCCTTTTGTGGAACTATGCGTTCCACTCGGAGAGAAACCCCGGAAGTGACGTCAGAATGCGGAAGTGACGCCACAGCATTGACGCCGCCGGAAGTAGGAAATGAATGCAAACGGAGGTATGGAACGCATGAATGCGTTCCACAACGGATTTTCCCGCAAAATACAAGGTATTGAGGTCTTATATAAGGACATTATCTGGACTGTATTGTTGAAAGCTGACTGAGGAAGCCACAATTGGCGAAACGTGTATTGGCTTATCATTTAGTACTTATATTTTATTCTTCCATATTTTATTTATTATCTTATGTATATATTTTTTGTAATAAAGTAGATTTTTATTATTCCATCCTCTGGATCCTCTTCTACTTATTGGAGACCATACCAGCTACAGAAGGGTTAGGATCACCCCATAATAGATCCAGAAGTCATCCACACCAGAGCCAGGTCCCTTGGCTCTGATTTTGTGAGTGTTTCCTTGCACTTATTGCACTTTAATATATATTGTAAACTGTCTATACTATTTTGCATATTTCTCTATCTCTGCAGCAATATATTGGAGAAGAGGAAAGAACAAAATTGCTCCATCCATTGTGTTTGTATTGTATGTACTTTTGTGTTGGTATAGGGGATACCACACGGGTGTTTGAGCTATTATAGTCACTTACTGTGCCATTTGCATTTGTAGTATATATGGGGTAATACCACCCGAAGGAGACTCTAATACCTGGTGCTACTCCTCCAGCCCAGAACTTAGACAAGGTAGCCCACAAAATTACTAAACCAGGAGTGGACAAAAAGGGAGTAATCCCCATCCTAGAAGACACCGGAATACACCTACTATTTTCTTATAGAATGCTGTTTTCCTCTTACCCGCCCCTTTTTTTTATGTTCCTGATTCTTCTTTGGTGTTACTTTCTTTATAATTTCATGCTCATGCTATCTTTATCACATATTAGCATAGGACTAATAAATCGTACAGACAAGAAGGGATCGAACATTTCCATAAAAATAATAACACTACCAAAGTGAACAATACAAAATAGAAGCAAATTTGGTATCGCTCAGCTTTTTAGAAAGCAGTATCAAAGCCTACCCACGAAAAAACCTACACTTACACATCCAGGGGTTGTTGTTCAGTACGGTAGCCTAGATACACGCAACATTTCCATCTTATACAGGGAATGTTGGATATAATGCATGTACGAAGCATGTCAAATGCTCACTGTTAGAATATGTATTAAATTGTACAACATGTCGAAACTGAGCAGATTTTAATCTGTATTCTGATGTTTGATCTTACATATTGCAATGTACTGAATATGATAGACAACCTGTGTTAGTTATACAAACCTACGTTCTTACATACAGCACTGTACCGATTGTCATTGATAACTTGTGTTAGTTTTGTTAACTTACATTTCTGTGCCATGTATACCTTACAACATCATTGAATAAAAAAAAATTATACATGAAAAAAAATTAAAACTCTACATATCCCCTTCACCGTAGTAATAGTGAGGGTAGCTATGTGAAAAACTCATACTTATCTTTAGATTTCTTTCTTCTTCTATCTTCTTTCCTTCAAAAGGCCAAATAAAAATCCATAATAACCGATGTGACTGGGGGTCCCAATAGTCTAAATAGTTTGAAGGACACTACAGCTTTCATATTTGTACTCCTGATGCATTTACAGTGATTTGTCTGGTTCTTGACTTCTGACCCACTTTCATACATTGATGAACAATGATTACTTTCAATATACTTGTGTAAGGAAGTGAAATGGTTAACTCTTTTTGCTTTATATGCTTTAAAATAATGTTTGAAATAATTATGCTGACTTTGGCAGATGTATTTTGTACCAAGGTCTTTCCTCTACAGGATGTATGACCTTCCTTGACCTTAGGATGTTCCTGTCTCGTCTTTATCCAAATGCTTCTCATTATTTTTTTTATTTTTTATTTTTTTTATTAGTAACATAGAGTAGGTAGGTACAACAGTGCCTGTATCGCCACATTAGCGTTACCAGGCTCTAACTTGTATACAGAACATAACATTAGTACAATATGTGAGGTTCATACATTTCACATTTGCTGGGAAGCTGTCATGCGGAGACATACATCTACATTGAGTAGCTAATGAACAAGGTTCTTCCACTTTTGGTTAGTCGGTTGAAGCTCAGGTTATTGAAGGGGGTGGATGGAGAGGGGGTTCGGCCCTGGGTGTGTATAATGACGCAAAGAGATCTGGTATATGCTCAGGTGTGGGCAACGGGTTGCTTCTGTGGTTTCAGTTGTCAGGTACTCGTCTGTCGTCGGGAGTAGTCTTGTAGCAAGGTGGCGGTGTGGCTCGGGTGGGGTGCAGTCTTGTATCTAAGCGGGGTCAGTGTAGGTAGAAGAGTATGTGCTCATGAAGGTTAGCCACTGGGACCAGCATGTCGTGTATTTGGTGTATGAGTGGGTCAGTGAGGAGTGTAGCTCCTCCATTAACCGTATAGATTCCACCTTTTGAATCCATTCCCTTATTGTCGGGTGTGATTGTTTTTTCCAGTAAATCGGGATAAGCATATTGGCAGCAGTTATTAGATGGTTGGTTAGTGTTTTCAGAGGTTTTGCTATCGGTTGTGGGTATATAAGGAATAGGGATATTTTGGGCGATACTGGGAGGTTGGTTTCCGTTATCCCCGAGATCAGGTTCATGATCCTTTGCCAGTACGTTTGAATGACTGGGCATAGCCACCAGATGTGTCCCGGGGTGCCTCCAGATTGGTGGCACCTCCAACAGGAGTCTGGAAGGGTAGGGAATAAGCGGCGTAGACGTGATGGGGTGTAGTGCCACCTGGCTATGCGTTTGTAGTTGTGTTCGTGTGTAGCGTTGCTTATTGAGGTGTGAAATATGTTCGTGAAGATGCTTTTGTTCTCTGAGCTGGAGAAGGAGATGTCAAGTTCCCTTTCCCATTGGGCCAGGAATGGGGGCTTGGGCTCACATGTGTCATTCTGAATTAAATTATAGAGTTTTGAGATGTGTTTTGACTTGAGGCCTGTGTTGTCGCACAGGTTTTCAAATGTGGATAGGTCTCTTGTGGCGCCCCGGAGTAGAGGTGTGGTCGATATGAAGTGGGTCAGTTGTTGGATGTTGAAGCGTAGTATAGGTGTGGCTGTTGCGTTTGGTATTATCTCTTCTAGCGGTTTGATCCCTTGGGCATTAAGTAGGGTTCCCAACTTGAGGTAGCTCGATGTATGTACAGTTTTGAATATGGATGGGTTCATACCAGGTTGGAATAGTGGGTTGTAGGTTAGTGGGTATAGAGGGGAGGGATGTGGTGAGACATTTGGAAGCGTTCTGATCTGTTGCCACGTGCGTAATGTCGGTGTTATGGTCGGGTGGAGGTTGTGTGGGTGGTTGATGAGGGTTCTGCATTTGTCGAGCCAAGGTATGGTGTGTATAGGTGTGGGGAAACAGTGTGCTTCGAGTTGGACCCATTGTTTGGGGTTATTGGGTATCGACCACTCGTAGATCCGCGCAAGGACTATGGCTTTGTGGTAGTTCTCTATGTTGGGTAGACCAAGACCTCCAGAGAGCTTATGTGTCGTTAGTAGTTTGTGTGATAGTCTGGGGTGTTTGTGAGCCCATATGAATGTGCTGAAGGTGCGTCTTAGGGTGGCGAAGAAGGTTTTGGGTAAGGCTATAGGGAGAGTTTGTAGCAGGTACAGGATTTTAGGGAGGGTGTTCATTTTTAGAATGTGTGTGCGGCAGAGCCACCCAAAGATGGGTTTATTCCATCTGGATAAATCTTTCGTGATGGATTGTAACAAGGGCGGGAAATTTAGGCTGTAGAGTTTGGATAAATTGGAGGGTATATGGACCCCCAGGTAGGTCACGGCTTCATTCGCCCAGTGGAACTGGAAGTCTCCCTGTAAGGAGTCCTTCGTTTCCCGGTTCAGCTTGAGTGGCAGAATCTCACTTTTCGTGAAGTTCACCTTAAAGTTGGACACCATTGCATACTCGTTGATGTCGCGGATTAGTGCTGGTAGGGATGTTGTGGGTTGTGTAATGGAGAACATGAGGTCATCGGCAAAAGCTGCCAATTTGTGTTCCCTGTTGTTTATTCGTATTCCCTGTATGTTTGGGTTGTCCCTGATGCCCTGCAGGAAGGGTTCCATTACTAGGACAAACAGTAGGGGGGATAGAGGGCACCCCTGTCTCGTGCCATTTCTGATTTGGAAGGGCTGGGATAGCTGTCCGTTGACACGGACTTTGGCAGTGGGATTGGAATAGAGCGCTTTCATCCATTTGAGCCACGCGGGGCCAAACCCCATGGATTCTAGGCTTGTCAGGAGAAGGGACCAGTCCACCCTGTCAAAGGCCTTCTCCGCGTCAATGGAGATCAGGAGGCTTTGTTCTGCTGAGAGTTTTGAGAGGTGTATAAGGTTTAGCACTTTCGTGGTGTTATTTTTGGCCTCTCGTGATGGGACAAAGCCCGCTTGATCAGGGTGGACCAGCTCCCTTAGGAGTGGGCGAAGGCGATTGGCTAAGATCTTAGTGAATATTTTAAGATCCACATTAATTAGGGAGATAGGTCTGTAACTCCCACAGCTTAGAGGGTCCTTGCCCGGTTTGGGAATCAACGTAATGTGGGCTTCTAGGGCTGAGTCCGGTAGATTGGTTGAATGTGTGAGGGAGTTATATGCCGCCGTGAAAGGTTGGGACAATAGGTTTTTAAAGGATTTATAATATGGGGCCGTGAAACCATCTGGGCCTGGGCTTTTTCTAAGTGGGAGATGTTGTACCACGTCTTCAAATTCTTTGGTTGAGATGGGTTCGTCTAGTGCTCTCTGAATGTTTGTAGGGAGTGCGTGCGCTAAGCGGGAGGATAGGAAGTTTTTGATTTCTGTTTTGTCCGGGGGCGTTTGTCTTAGATTGTAGAGTCTAGAATAAAAGTCTCTAAAGGCATTTAGAATGTCCGGGAGTATGTGAGTCGTGTCTCCCGATTCTGTTTTAATTTTCGGAATAAACGTGGTTTGTCTCGAGGCCTGTAGCATCTTGGCTAAAAGGCGGCCGCATTTGCCACTGTTGGCGTAGTAATTGTGTTTGGAGAGGGAGAGTTTACGTTTGATGTGGACGTTGAGGAGTTGTTGTAGGGACGACCTATATTGTGTCAATTGCTTATATGTATCGAAGGAATTGGATCTTTTGTGTTCTTCTTCTAGGGATCGGATGGAGTTGGTAAGGGAGCGAGTCTGGGCCTCGCGATCTTTTTTCATTTGGGAGGATAAGGCTATGAGGAGTCCCCTGATGACTGGTTTGTGCGCCTCCCAGGTAGTGGTAGGCGAAACCTCTGGTGAGGTGTTTTCCTGAAAATAGTGTCGGAGGGTTTCTGATACTTTGGCTACTAGAGGCGGATTGTTTAGTAATTGGTTGTTGAACTTCCATTGGAAGGAGTGTGTTGGGAGAGAGGGTATTCGAATGGCAAGAGACAGGGGTGCATGATCCGACCACGTAATTGGGCCGTAGTGACACCTCTGTATAAGGTGTAGGAACCTATGATGGAGAAAGAGCATATCTATCCTTGAGTATGTTTTGGTGGCGGTGGAATAATATGAGTAATCCTTAGAGTGTGTGTTTGTCTCCCTCCAAGCATCGAAAAGTTGTGCCTGATCTAATAGACGGTTGAGTTGCCGCCTTGTGGGAATTTGATACGTAGTGGACCCTGAGGTTGTGTCCATTTGGGAGTCTAGGGAGACATTGAGATCCCCGCCCATGATTAAGATGCCTTCCTGGAATGATTCTATGGTTTTGAGATATTTTCTGAAGGATCGACATTGGTTTCTATTTGGCAAATATATATTGGCTAGGGTTACCATGTTATGTCCAATGAGCCCTTTTACCAGAATCAGTCTACCTGAGTCGTCTGTATGGCTGTCTTTGAATATGAAAGGGATCTGGGAGGAGATAAGGATGGCTACCCCCCGCTTCTGTGTAGTCACTGAAAAACCCCAGGGGGTATCTGGCATTTTTTAGAGAGGGTGCGACCCCCTTTTTAAAGTGGGTCATCTGCAAATAAGCGATGTCCACTTTTTGTTTCTGCAGTTCATGGAGGGTCAGTGATCTCTTCTCGGGTGAGTTGAGACCCCTGGTGTTGAGAGTGAGTATATGTATGTCTGCCGTCGGGGGTTGAGTACTGGAGGGGGAAGTGGAGGCCATTGTTGCAGCTGTCTCGATAGATGCACTGAGTTAGAGTTTCAGCAAATGTGACTATGTACAATGAAAATAAAACTGAGTAGTGTAGGTTGGGGTAGGGGAAACCAGAGTTGGATGGGTGGAGAATATAAGTGCAGTTAGCCGGTTGGTAGCGGAGGGTTGTTGAGGATAAATATAATTGGAAACTAATAACTGTCGGTGTCTATCCCAGGTAGTGGGTAGTTGCCACTAGGGAATCTAAAGGGCACCGCTGAGGGGAGGGTGGGAGTCCGGAGTTATGTCAGAATTGGGAGATTTCCGGTTATGGGGTGTAAGGTCTAGCGCGTATGGAGTGTAAGCTCAGTGCCATACAAGCGCACCAGCAATCCATAGGAAGTTGTGTAACAACAAATGATGGGATGGTCACGGGGGGGGGGGGTGGAAGGGTACCTGGGGAGGGAGGCCTAACCGTGTGTAATAGTAAAAGAGGTACTTCAGGCTGTACTGTTGCTATTCCCTATATTGGTGTAATGCGTCTTGACCCCTGATGTAATCATCGACCCGGTGTGTCCGCTGGGACTGTTTGGGCAATGCAGTGGACCCCCCACACAGCATACAATACAATACATTACAAAGGTAGACAGATAGTTCATAGTCCTGTGCCCTGGCTCAGTATGTGTCGGCAAGCTCTCATCCATTGGAGTCGTCAAGCTTGTCCGGTCTACCCTACCTGCCCCCCACACGTCTTCCAGTACTATACAAAGGTAGATAGATATTACATAGTCCTGTGCCCTGGCTCAGTACGTGTCGGCAAGTTCACAGCTATCGGTGTTGTCAAGCCTGTCCGGACTACCCCATCTGCCCCCCACACATCATACAATACAGTACAAGGGTAGACCGACATTACATAGTCCTGTGCCCTGGCTCAGTATGTGTCGGCAAGCTCTCATCCATTAGAGTCGTCAAGCCTGTCCGACCCACCCTATCTGCCTCCCAGGCCCGGCCGGGCCCGCGGTCCCCCCGTCCCGTCCCCCAAGAGCGATCTGGCCCTTCTCGGGAGGGGAAGGGGGCGAGGGAAGGCCGGCCCCCACCCGGCCCAGGGGCAGATTCCCCCTGCTACCTCTTCTAGGCATGGCGTTGGGGTGAGTGTGGAATGTCCATCTGGGTCCACTCTGGAGGGGGTATCCTCCCGCCAAGCGATTGTGTATACAGGAACAGTATCTGGTTAGGTGGGTCAATTGGGGGGGGGATAGAGTCCCCCAAATGGCAGTCAACTCACTGTTACTTTGTCCCGGTTTGCGTTCACAACTGGCAGCGGGCCGGTCCAGGCCAATTCTTCATTGTTGCGGGGGTACAGCGTGGTTAGGGGGATGCATGTGCTGATCGGAGTCGGTAGGCCTTCCCCAGGTGGGTGCAGAAAGGGCATTTTAGTGGCGGGATGATCTCGGAGTGGATGGGCCCGTGTTGCGCCATGCTCCACCCGGTTCGTTGTTTCTTCTTTTAGTCGGAGTTTGGTTTCTGCCTGGCTGGGGGAGTTGGGTCATGGGTGGGCCTGGGTACGTGCCATACCAATCTAGCACCTCCGTGTTGGGTAAGTCCATTGCTCTCGTGAACACTGGAACGTCGTGGATCGATGTAATTTGGTGCGTGGATCCCATGTGTGTGGCTATTAGGGAGAAGGGAAAGCCCCATCTGTATTTTATATTTCTCACCCTGAGTTGTTCCGTAATGGGTTTCAGGATCCTTCTTGCCTGTAGGGTTGCCCATGACAGGTCTGGATAGATCTGTATCGGGGAGTTATGGTATAGTAGCGGTTGTGAGGTCTGTCGCAGCGCCCTCAGGATGTCCTCCTTCTCGGAGTAGTAATGGAGCCTGCATATCACATCCCTCGGTGCAGCAGAGGGGGCGCCCCTTGGCTTTAGAGCTCTATGGGCTCTATCCAAACGGATTTGGGTATCTCGCGGCCTGTTAAGGAGTAGGTTGAATAACTCATTTAGGGATGTTCCGATGTCTTCTTGATCCTGTTCAGGTAGGCCTTTGATCCTGAGGTTGTTGCGGCGGCCCCGGTTGTCCACATCATCTAGTGAACGGTAGAAAGATGAAATGGTGGATGTGTGCGTGCTCATAGCAGCCTGGAGTTGCTGCATTTGTGCACTGAGCATGTCGCGATCCTCTTCCAGTGAGGTAACTCTGTCTCCCACCTTGCGGACATCGGTCCCAATGGCGTCTAGGCGTACCTTGAAGGAGGCTTCCATCTTGCCTAGCAGGTTTGCTATGTCATCTTTAGTGGGTAAGTTTCGTATAAGCTCCTTGAGCTCCATGTCGTCTGGGTTAGTGGATCTGCCGGACCCTTCCGGGCTAGAGGGCGCCGAGCCGTCCTGGGAGGATTCCGGCGCCATGGGTAGGCCTGCGGCCTCGTGTTGGTGTTCCGTGTTATCACGGTAAAATTTGGTCAGAGCGCCGTGTTTGCTCGTTGGGGGCTTCCCCGTTTGCTGTTGAGGTGTTTGGGATCTTTTGGGGTGACCCATCATTTGTTTTAAGCTCGATGTGGACGGATTAGCTGGCGGCTTTTCGGGAGAGCTAGCAGAACACGTCCATTCAGCTCGGCTGTTGGCTCCGCCCCTCCCAATGCTTATCTTTTTCATGTCCGACAAGTATGTACTATTAACTACCAGGACACTATAGATCTCACTGCTTGCATGACAAACTGTGTATAAATGCTAGCCCTGAAAATATACTCATTGAGAACTTGTTAAGCACTCTTTCGTGTCTGTGTGTCTTATTTGCTAAACAAGAACTCCCATCAATTGATATGGTGATCGGAGGATCGAGAATCAAGGGGAGTTGAGTCCAGAACAGCATTTACCCTTTCAGCTTAGTGTCTAGAAGTGGGATCAGCAAAACCATTTGCGGTGAGTAACCTTTTTGTGTCTTATTGACGCTAATTGTCTATGACCCCCTTTGGTTTAGTAAGTCTGTATCCAGTAGAAAGGAAAGGTGTAAGGACTTAGTTATATTGAGACTGTAAATAGGTCTCCGGTTTATTAGACATTTGGTCTAAATATATATAGGGTTTTGGTAACCCAGGTTAGTATCTAAGATAGATACAAGGTATCTCAGGTAGATACAGGTTTTGAGACTATAAAGGAGTCTCCGGTTTATTAAGACTATAGGTGTTCTAGGGAACACGGTTTATAGATCTAGAATAACCCAAACTTCTCGTTCCTTTGGTCACCCTGTGTCTGCTTTGTGTTTATTTTGCTTGTTAAGTAGAGACACACTATTGGTAAGTAGGTAGTGTCTCTACCATGAGCCAGAAATATGGGAAATAATCAGTCTATTTCTTACCCTTTACCCCACCCAGGGGAGTCATGTCTAAATTATGTTACTAGAATAGGAGCACAAGGAGGATTTCTTACAATCCCCTTTGTGTCAAATTTAGCAGGATGGACAGAGACTATGAAGTCATCTGATCCTTTTCCCAGGTGTGGGGCTAATGATGATTTCCATATGAATATGATTCGAGGATTGTGTTTGGGAGATAGGAAGTCATGGCCGTGGTATGGTCCTGATCCAGATTGGGATAAGGAATATATGAAAGCAGGAGGTGAAAATTGGTTGCTGATAGCCCCTCATTGGTTTCCTTGTAGTGTAACAGGAAAGGTTTTAAAGGGAGCTAAGAAACACCTGGCTAAGAGAAAGGGAACTGTTGACAGTAATACTATCCGCTTTCCTATAGAAGCCCCTCCTGAGAATCTATATCCACCACCAACTGTGCCCCCTACCCAGTCAGCCCCCGGCCATGCCCAACCACAACCCCCACATCCCTATAAAGCAATGTATCCTGCTGTACCTAATGCCCCCTCAGAGGATGATATAGAAGATATTTCTATTGCTGCAGCTGTTAATTCACAATCACAGCAATTACAGGAATCATCATCTACACCAGATTCTGATATAGAATACCCACCGCCACCTCCTGGTACAATTAAATTAACAGTACAAACAGGAGTCAAACTTAAAAGTGGCAAGGTGTTAAAATCATATGTACATAAGCAAGGTGATGATGATGTAGAGATGCCAGAATTAGAAGGTGCTGATCTTACTGCCCCGTTTATGACTGTTGGTAATCAGTTAATAATGAAACCCATTAATCCCGGAGTACTCAAGGACATTATTCAAGGTGCCCCAAACCCCTGTACTAATCCCTCTGCATGCCTAATGTATCTGAAAAGAATGTGTTTAGGACAGAACATGACACAGATAGACATACAGTTAATTATAAATGGAATATTAGGGTATGATTCAGATTCTGGTTGGAATTGGTCTAATGTGCCCTCTATTAGTGAGACAGACAATGGTACTGGAGTTGGAGTGGCTGGCAGTGATGGTGTTTATGAACTTAGTACTTCAGCAGGATGTGCTAAAATGTGGGATGAGGTGGAAGCTGAAATGTTGAGATTATGGAAGAATAAGCAGTCTATATCCACTGCTTTGGCATGTAAGCAAGGTGCAAAGGAAGAGATTGGTATTTTTGTAAAGAGATTTTACAAGTGTTGGAAGGATGAGGCAGGTTTAAAGTCTGGAGATGATATGGATCTCCTTAAAATACAGTCATGCCTTGGTAATATGTTGCCACAGTATTCTTTGCTTGTGAAACAGTTGATTTCAGACTGGGCCAATTTGGGTGGCTCAGATTTTCTTACCAAGGTTCTAGAGAAGGAAAATGCAGGTTGTTTTGATTTAAGTAAAGATTCAGGAAGTAAGGTTGCTTATTATGCTCAGGGATTGCAACACTGTCCACCTACACAGGCCCGAGAGAGAGGATGGGATGAAGCACATAGAGCCTGTGGAAGGTGTGGTCAAAGAGGGGCAAAGAGATGGAGACTGGGAAATCGGGGTTATAGGGGCAGGGGTAACCAAGGAGGAATAGACAGGAACACTTGTTTCAACTGTGGCCAGCATGGCCACTGGAGGAATGAGTGTCCACACCCCAGGAAACCCCAGCAGCCCCAACAACCCCACAATTCTCAAAATACGCCCGATAGGCAAGAACAACACCAGGCCCACTCCCAACACCACTGGCCAGCACTTCCCTCTCCCCCCTCGCTCCAGCAAACCCAAACTGCATTAGGGACATTCACAGGTACCACTGACCAGCACACCCATCACATCCCATGGCCCCAATAGGGCTGCCTTGAAGGTGACACTCCAACTTTTCCACTTTTGTCCTCTACTAATGATGATCAGCCTTTTTGTATTCTGGTCATAGAAGGTAGATCCTTGCCATTTTTGGTAGATACTGGAGCTACGTGTTCCAGTCTCTGTGATACCTATTATCAGGGGACAAGGGAAAAGTCTACACCTTCATTGGGTATTAATGGAGTGTCAACCCCCTTTTTTGTCACACCACCACTGTCTGTTTTCTGTCCTCTTAATGGTTCTTCTACTGTGCACCCTTTTCGTCTAATACCTAAATGTCCTTTTAATTTGCTGGGAAGGGATCTTCTTGGTATTCTGGGAGCTACTATTACTTGCATGCCCTCTGGTGGTATTGATGTGTCTATGTTGTGTTCTGAAACTATTGATTTGTCTGATGTTCCTTCCTCTGTGTGGGCTTCATCTAAGTTAGATGTAGGATTTGTCAACTGCACCCCTTACAAAGCCAAACTAAAACCAGCTGTAACTCCTATCTACCTTCTACGGTCATGGTTCCGTCCTTTTGCAATATGTTGATGACTTGTTGTTATGTAGCCCTAGCTATGAGGCAAGCACTGTGGATACTGTCAGTTTGCTCAAACACTTAGCAACTGTGGGTCACAAGGTTGCAAAACACAAAATGCAATTGTGTAAATCAAAGGTTGATTACTTAGGTTTTGTTCTGGCTTCAGGCACCAGACAATTGAGTCCAAAACGTATTGAGGTCATTCAGAGGATTCCTAAACCCACTACTCGGAAGGAGTTGCTCACCTTCCTCGGCATGATTAATTACTGCCGCCAATGGATCCCTGAATGCTCCCATTATGACTCAATCCTAAGGGAGGCTGTATGTTCTGACAGCCCTGAAAATGTCTGCTGGTCACCAGACATGCTAGCTGCGTATATTGCCCTCAAAGTTGCTATTGTGCAAGCCCCGGCTTTAGGACTACCTGTGTATTGTAAACCATTTCATTTGTATGCTCGGGACAACTGTAAAACCATGGCCGCGGTCTGTGCACAAGAGCACGGAGGCGGTATGCGTCCCATAGCATTCTTTTCCAAAGTAGTTCCAGCTCCGGTACAGGGTATGCCGGCGTGTCTCAGAGCATTGGCAGCATGTGCAATGGCTGTTGAGACTGCTACTACTATCACACTAGGGCATCCTACAATACTCCATACCAGTCACCAGGTCACTCAGCTTATAAAAAATCTCACCACACAACACATGACAGCCCAGCACTTAAGTGGTTATGAGATTATTCTTCTTAATACCCAGAATCTGTCTATTGTTTATAGTCCTGTTAATTCTGGTCCTATGTCTGTTTTGCATGCTATTCTCACTTCTGCATCTGACTCTGTGTCTATACGATCTGAGCCTCATAATTGCATTGAACAAATACATATTGCCACATCTCCCAGAGCAGACCTCTCCTCCACAGCACTCAGTGGCCCGGATGTGACCACTGTCTTTGTGGATGGCTCTTGTTCCAGACCAAATGATGGTACATACCTCACAGGCTATGACGTGGTACATCTACCTGATAAAATCATTGAAGCTGACACTATTTTCCAGCCGTCTGCACAAGCTGCAGAACTCATTGCTCTTACACGTGCCTGTCAGCTTTTCTCAGGACAGCGAGTGAACATTTACACAGACTCACGATATGCTCATGGGGTAGTGCATGATTTTGGTGTGATTTGGAAACAAAGAGGCTTTGTAGGAGCCGATGGAAAAGCCATTTCACACACAAATCTCATCCAATCACTCCTAGATGCTATCCTACTCCCATCTGAAGTAGCTGTTATCCACTGCAAGGCACACACTCTGGGTAGTGACGACACAGAGGTAATGCCTTGGCTGACAAAGTGGCAAAAGAAGTTGCAGCCAAGACTCTTTACTATGAAATGTTTCCTGCTATGCTCACACCTCCCACATGCCCTACTGACAGTTTGCTTTTGCAGCTCCAAGCCTTTGCAATGCAATCTGACTTTGATTTTTGGATTAAACAAGGTTTAAAAAAAGATCAGAATGATCTTTTCTCTAAAGAGGGGAAGATAGGCATACCTGAAGCCAGCTGTTTTATTTTCATCAGTCAGGCACATGGTCCTGGCCACAAAAGCATAGCAAGCACCATCCAATTCCTCATGAATTCATTTTAGGAATCTCAGGCAGCAGGTACAGTCTTTTGTTAGATCGTGTGATCCATGTATGAGAACACATCCGAATATTCCACACAAATCACAGCATGAACATTTGCCCCCTCCAGCTGCTCCTTTTACACACTTACAGATTGATTTTACTCATGTACCCAAAATTGGTAAGAAACAGCAATACTTGCTGGTCATAGTTGATCAGTTTAGTAGATGGCCTGAGGCCTTTGTGACATCTAGGGAGGATGCTAGGACGGTAGTGAAGATTCTTGCTACTGAAATTATTCCCAGGTATGGCTGCCCTCTGCAGATTAACTCTGATAATGGCCTGGCTTTTGCTAGTAAGGTTACCCAGGAACTTGCTAAATTCTTGCAAGTTACCTGGAAGTTTCATATACCCTATCATCCACAGAGTTCAGGGGTAGTTGAAAGGATGAATAGGACCATTAAGGAGAAGCTTATGAAAGCTACTGCAGGAACATGGGTAAATTGGACAAAATATCTTCCAGCTATTTTAGCTGAGATAAGAATGACTCCCCACAAGGTGACTAAATTATCTCCATTTGAGATTCTGATGGGACGACCTTTTCCCACACCCTGGGCCAGGGAACCGCTTGTTATAATGTCTGGGGATTTACAGCTAATACAAGAACAATATGTACAGGAATTGTTGATAAAACTGAATGGTATATATGGCAATGTTTCTTCGCAGTTTCCCTTACCTTCACAGGAACCTACTCATCCATATCACCCCGGTGACAAGGTGTATATCCGTCAGCTGAATAGGACCAAGAAAGGAGGATACCCTTTCGGACCACCTGCTACTGTGATTGCTGTAACCAGAACTGCTGTCCTCACAGATTCCCACGACATCTGGATTCACGCATCCCGAGTGAAGCTGTGTCCAAAGAGGGGAACCAAGGAAGACAACACCACTCCTCACTCGAAAGAGAAGAATTTCCCCTTAGCGAAGCATCATGGCTTTCACACCATATTGTAGATTGAGAGGATCATACGAACCTGAGACCAAGATTAGGTTTTGCGCTATGCTTTCTGGAGTTGTTATACTCCCTCTGATATTGTACCTTGAATGCCATTATGAGTACAAGTCAATGGGAAGTTTGAAACCTGTTTGTTTCTGGAGAAATTACTCTGACATGATGAAAAATTCTTCAATACCCCTAGCCCAATTAGGCCTTAGCCCCTCATCTAGCATTCGTCACACACACTCCCTCAAGAACCTTTCTCCACCACCTATCTATCAGCATGTAATATGCAAGCACTCATTGACTGAACACATATGGATGAACTGGATAAATAATAACCCTTATAAGTACCAGTTACCCATATGGAATGTGTCCACAGCTATTATGTTTGTTTGAAGGTTCACGGAAAATTGTTAGATCTTATAACGCAGAAATGTGCACAGTTAAGGTTGCTAATTACACCAGCATCTGTGGCACCTTATTTAATATAAGTTCTGATGGTAAGAAAAAAACACCTAAACAGGTTTGGGATATATATTATAAGAAAATTAGTAAGGTTGCATATCAATGTAAACAGACAGGCCTTATTATTTTTAATAATGATTATACAACTGGTACCATTAATTGGAAAAGGGGACAAATGTTAGTCATTATGAACGACACTGCGATTGAGAACTGTACACTATCATATATTTTTACACCTTATTACTGTCCTTTATCCTCTGCCATAGAACCAAAAGTCAACCACGACACACACACACCTATTCCATCCACATGTGTTAATACAACTGCCTTCTTACAAGCTGTACATGTGTCATTAAAAATCACTACAAGTGCTGTAACACTATGTAACACAACAAACAAAAGGCAGAAAAGGGAATGGTATGACACACTGTTAGGAGGTGCTGGAACCACTATGGGTATACTAAATAGTATAGACATGGAGACCCTCAAGAATAAGTTAGACACGGCCAGCATGCATATAGGGACTGGTTTCCATGCTACTGCAAACTGGGCTCCAACTGTTGTTAAATCACAGGTTACAGGATTGGATTTAGATAAATCAATGTATAACTATTTAGGTAATTTAACTGTTGCAACTATGAAATTCACTACAGATCTCGGTAACTGGAGTACTTGTGCCATCAGGTATTTATGGATGCAACAACAAAGATTGGCATTAGAAGACACACTAATGATTCCTAAACTAGAGAAGATTAGAGGGATGCTTAACCTCACAGATAATGAATGCTTACTTCTGAAACCCCAATCCACTAAATGCAATGAATGGTTAACTGGTAATGTTTCACATTTTTCATGCTCATGCTATTTTACACTATATCATACATCATCAAAGGATGTTAAATTAGCTTGTCAATTTAACACATAACCAGTACCAGTTTATGATCTCTTTGCCAGGAATTTAACCTGGTGGGCACCCACATACACAGGGGACTATATTTTCCCCAAATATAATATGACCTATTCCCTTAAACACTGTGTTCTCACTGATAAAGGATATGCATGTCGACACTCGTCCCCTATTTACGAACCATGCTTACTCCAAAATGAACTTAACAAGTGCATATGGCACATATATCCTGAAAATTATTTTACCATGACTGAAATAAGCACACGACATATCTGTTTGGCAACTAACCTCCCTACAAAGATAATTACTAGTAATACAAGTATTAATCTACCTCTCCCCT